TATATATATATGTATATATATGATAAATTAGGATTTTAACCAACTAGAAAATATGTGAAAGATATCATAATTATTTTGAAACTAATCATGTTATTAATTTTTTTTTATTGATTTAATAAGATTATGGAGGATCGTAGTTGGATGTATGGGCATCGAACTCCACGAGGAAAGATATATAATAAGTTCTACAGTGGAGTTGAATATTTCCTTCAATTTGCATACAATAGCCTTAGTCTTCAACCGAATGATTTAATCAGATGTCCTTGTACTAAATGTTTTAATTTACCATTGATGACTCGGGAAATGGTATGGGACCATCTTACTAAGTATGGTTTTATGAATGCTTATTCTGTTTGGTGGGCATATGGTGAGACATTTGTGAATTCAGCAGATCCATGGTCTGCTACTAATCTGGGAGAATCATCACATAGCCAAGATACACACCATGATGAAAGGAATGATTCTTGTGAAATGGTGTATGATGCATTTTGTCCAGAGGATGATGATAATCGGGAAATGGAAGGTAATTTCCCCAATCAACATCTGGACGAGGAACCAAATAATCAAGCAAAGGCATTTTATGACTTGCTTCATGCATCTACAATTCCACTTGGTAGTGCTAAAAGAAATGAGACAGTGCTTAGCTGGCTTTCTTATATGTTGCATACAAATACTGCAAATAATATAATTGCTAATGGTTTTAATGTCACTCTTAAAGGATGTAGAAGGTTGTTAAGTGCTGAAGATCAAGACAAAGTTCCTTTAAACTTTTATGAAGTAAAACAATATATGAAGGGGCTTGGGTTAGGTTATCTAAAAATTGATGCTTGTGTTAACAACTGCTTTTTATACTATGGGAAGCATACGAAAACATTGACTACATGTCCAATTTGTGGAGAAGCGAGGTATAAACAGAGAAATCCAGGGAGGAATAGACAAAAGGACATTCTGAGGAATTCTCTTTGGTACTTACCAATAATACCTCACCTTCAAAGGCTATACATGTCTCGAAAAATAGCTGAGCACATGACATGGCATTTGAAATGTTATGGTGATACAGATGAGGTCATTCATCCAGCACAATCAGAAGCATCGAGACATTTTGATCAAATGCATCCTTCTTTTAAAAGAGAACCTCGTAATGTTCGATTAGGTCTTGCTACTGATGGTTTCAACCCATGGGTTTATTCTTCAACCTCCTACTCTTGTTGGCCAGTTTTTTTAATTGTTTATAATTTGCCACCAGAGATGTGCATGCGACTACAGTTTACTTTTCTTACATTGGTCATTGTTGGTCTAAAAAGCCCAGGCAAAAATATCGATGTTTTCCTTCGAACTTTAATTGAAGACTTGAAAATGTTATGGTCGACTGGTGTAGAAACATATGATAGTTATTGTAAGCAAAACTTCATAATGCAGGCTATGTTGATGTGGACCATAATTGATTTTCCGGGTTATGGTATGGTGGCTGGTTGGAGCACTCATGGCCAATTGTCATGTCCTTACTGTATAGAGATGACACAATCTTTTTATCTTCAAAATGGTCGGAAACCATGTTTTTTTTATTGTCATCGTCAGTTTTTACCAGAATCACATTCTTTCAAATTTGATCAAAGTAATTTCTTGAAGGGTCGGGTTGAATTAAGCAGTCCCCCTCCTCGATTGGATGGTGTTGCAATGCGTCACCGAGTTGAAAACCTTCCTGATGTGTTGTTTGGGAAACCCTTTGAAAACCAAACAATTGACGGTTTTGGGAACATCTATAATTGGGTGAAAAGGTGCATTTTTTGGGAACTTCCTTATTGGCATGATAATCTTATTCAACATAATCTTGATGTAATATACTATGAGAAAAATGTCTTTGATAATATAATACACACTGTTATAAATGACAATAAGACAAAAGACAATGGGAAAGCAAGATTGGATTTAGCCATTTATTGTGACCGAAGAAACTGCACATGGGATATAATACGCATGGTAAGCTTGTGAAACCTAATACTATTTATGCACTGACATCTGAAAAACAAAAGCATCTATGTGCATGGCTAAAACAGTTGCGCTTTCCAGATGGGTTTGCTTCCAACATATCAAGATGTGTCAACTTGAATGAGTCTAGGTTATTTGGGATGAAAAGTCATGACTGTCATGTTTTCATGCAATGACTAATTCCAGTTGCTTTTCGCGGTTTATTGCCATCTGTTATTTGGGGTCCTTTGACTGACATTAATAACTTCTTTCGTTCACTTTGTTCCCCGGTCATTAAAGTTACTGAGATGCAGAAGTGGGAGGCAAAGATTATTGAAATAATTTATAAGTTAGAAATAATATTCCCCTCAGCATTCTTTGATTCTATGGAACATCTAGCAATTCATCTTCCATATGAGGCCAGAGTTGGTGGTCCTGTTCAATTTCGTTGGATGTACCCATTTGAAAGGTAAAACATATAAAGAAATTGATTGATAATTTTAAAACTTACTTTTGATTACTTTTTTGGAAATTAATCTTATCAGTATTTTTTTTCAGGCGCATGCGCATACTTAAGAGTACCATAGGGAATAAAAATCATGTCGAGGCATCAATTGTTGAGGCATTTATATTATAGGAGATATCCCACTTTTGCTCTCGTTATTTTGGGGATGATGTTGAGACAAGCTGGAATCAGCCTCCAAGGAACTATGGTGGCATTGGAACCAACGTCCCAAGTTATCTTTATTTTGTTCCCCTAGTGAATCAATAGGGGCCCACTCACGTACACGATGTTTAACATTGGAGGAGAAAGATGCAGCTGAACTATATGTCTTGCTAAATTGCAAGGAGGTTGATGTTTGGGTAACGTAAGTTTTACTTCTTAAGAAAATAAGAACTACACGATGTTTAATAGCCTATATGATTTTCATAACGTTTTAATTAATAAATAAATGTTATTTTACAGTAAATTTGAGGAAGAAGTTGGTGCAAATTTGTCACATGAACAACTACAAAGATT